CAAACATCAGGAAAAAGGGAGAATATCCTGTGGTTTCCTCAATTGTAGTATTGTAAGCGTGAGTGATGAATGGGAGTATTTCGTCCCAATTTTTCTGATCAGTGTTCACATACATACTGAGCATATTGATCAATGTTCTATTTAACCGCTCTGTCAATCCATTAGTCTGGGGATGATAGCTCGTTGTGAAGCAATGTTTAATCTTGCACGTTTTCATCACCTCTTTCATTAAATTACTGGTAAATTGAGAGCCTCTGTCACTAATAAGATATTTTGGGGCTCCGTGCCGAAGAAAAATATCCTCTACTAGAAATTTAGAAACTTCTTTCACTGTTGCTTCCGAGACTGCTCTTGTTTCTGCATATCTAGTGTAGTAGTCCGTCAGCACGATTATCCATTTTTTTCCTGTTTTTCGTAGATGGTAGTGGACCAACAAAGTCAATTCCAATTCTTTCGAAAGGAAAGTTGGCTGGGATGGGCTGTAGTAGTCCAGAAGGTAATTGGTTTGAGCCTTTCCTACTTTGGCAAAGGTGACACGTCTTAACGAATTCTGAGACATCCTTTAGCATGGATGGCCAAAAGTATTTACTCTTTATTCGGTACATGGTTCTGGCGACGCCCAGATGGCCATTCGACATATGATTGTGATATTCTTTCATAACAAATATTTTTAATATATAAAATTTATTGTTAATTTTCAAAATATTCACACCTATATTTTACAAAAATGATTTTGTTCATAATATAAATAAATATATCAATTTTTTTCTCCCCATTGAATATAACAAAACATTTTAAAAACTTAATTCTGTTGACGTTATGTGGCGCTGAGTTTGTTGTTGACACACTTTAAAATGTTATAACACCTTGATAAAGGTTGGCGTTCAGCCAACTGAAATATTGGTAAAATAAATGATATTTTGATCCAATATATGCCTTTTTAATTAAATATATATATATATGGGACCAAAATATTTTTGGTCGCAGTGGTACAGTCTGCTACACTCTGACGAGGGCCAACAACCCGAAACGCGTTCGTGGATGGCTTTACTTGATTTATTAAGAAAATAGGTTGGCCAAATATCAGGGTACAGGCTTAATCAACCTTCAGGGTTCGGGTTTTTCTTAAAGAGGCATCCATCTTCTTCTTTAAAGTTTTGCGCAATTGATCGCCTGCTTCCATTAAGGTTTTTCTTAACACTTTCGATAAATTTATCCTCTTCGTCTGTTATTTGATTTAAAAATAGCCTTTCAGATTCCTCATCCCAATCAGTTTCTGGTAAGGGCCCCCTAGATAAGCCATCGGCGTCCAGATGCTTCTTTCCCGATTTATGTATTATATCGAAGTCATATTCTTGAATTTTCAATGCCCATCTTGCCAATCGACCTGTTGGATCCTTCAAGTTTTTGAGCCAGCATAAGGCGTGATGGTCTGTTACTATTTTAAAGTGTCTTCCATAAAGGTAGGGTCGTAATTTTGACATTGACCAGACAACGGCCAGACATTCTTTTTCAGTGGTTGAATAATTTTGCTCCGCTTTACTTAGGGTACGACTCAAATATGAGATCACCTTCTCTTCACCACCGATGTCTTGGACAAGTGTTGCACCTATGCCGATGTTGGACGCATCAGTATGAACATAAGTAGGTGCATTTGGATTGAAGTGACCTAAAATTGGTGGACTTAATAGTGCTGTTTTTAGGGTTTGAAACGCTTCCTCTTGTCTTTCTGTCCAGGTAAATGATACACTTTTTTTTATAAGGTTGGTCAAAGGGTCAGCAATTTTTGAAAAGTCTTTGATAAATTTTCTATAATATGAACACATTCCCAAAAAGGATTGTACTTCTTTGACCTTTTTGGGCCGAGGAAAATTTCTGACAGCTTTGATGTTATGTTCCGCGGGTTTTATACCATGTTTGCTCGTTATATAGCCGAGAATCTCCAATTCTTCAAAAGCAAATCGGCATTTTTTGTCGTTTAACCTTAAATTAGATTCACGAAAACATCTAAAAACAGCTTCAAGTCTTTTGAGGTGCGTTGGAAAATCCGGGCTATATATGATAACATCATCCAGATAACACAAACAAATTTGCCATCTCAGATTTCCAAGCATATTCTCCATATTTCTCTCAAAGGTAGTAGGCGCGTTACAAAGTCCAAAAGGCATCACGTTGAATTCATATAATCCATGCGCTGTAGTGAAAGCTGTTTTCTCTTTGTCTCTTTCTTCGACTTCAACTTGCCAATATCCAGATCTGAGGTCTATTGCTGAGAAGTGTGTAGATCCTTGGAGAGTATCCATAACTTCGTCTATTCTAGGGATAGGATAGACATCTTTTACTGTCACATTATTCAGTTTTCTGTAGTCCACACAAAATCTGTATTTACCATCTCGCTTCTTGACCAATATTACTGGAAAAGACCAGGGGCTAGAAGATGGCCTAATTATGCCTTCTGTAAGCATCTCGTCAATTTGCTCTTTTATAATATCTCGTTCTTTAGCACTTACCCGGTAAGGCTTGTGTTTAATTGGCTTCGCGTCTTCTGTGTCTATCCGATGTTTTGCCAAATTGGTTCTCCCTAATCTCGATGAAAAAAGATCTCCATACCTTTCTAAAACTTGTTTTAACTCCTTCTGTTCCTTTGGTGAAAGATTTTCGTTTATTTGGAATCTAGGTTCTTCGTTCTTTTCTACCTCTCTTTCTCGACTCACATTTATTTTCGCTGGACTACTTCCAAAAGCCAATGTTTGGTTTTTCATTATTTTTAACGGTCGAGGATACGGATTAGTTATCCAGATGTGTGTTTCCCTATTTATAACATTGATCAAGCTTCTTGCTAGACGAAGTCCATTTGTTTGAAACATTTTGCTGCTCTCCTCGATAATATATTCTCCATCCTCTGTTTCTACCAATGCCTTGATCAATTTCATGGAACATTCCGGTACAATGGAATCCTTGGCACTCTTTATTTTCAACATTTCAAAATTGATTTCGTCATGATTATTCGTCAAATCGTATTTGATAGTTTCTTGCTTACAATCTATTTTTGCGTTCATTTTCTTAAGGAAATCTCTCCCAAGAATTAATGTCCGTAAATGCGTTTTCAATATCACAAAGTTGTGTGATAATGTTTCGTCATCAATTTTTATATTTAAAAATATACTTCCTACCATGTCCAATTTTTTTCCATCGGGTCCTGCACAAATTTTTGCGAGTTTACTTATACCATGGCCTGTATCGAGGGCCGTTCTGAGGTCGACCACTGAGAGGTCAGCACCTGTATCAACCAAAGCTTCAAAAGTCCCTATCTTGTCCACATTAATTTTTAATTTGTATTTAGGGTCCAACTTCTTGATTCCGTTTATGGTCGACTTGCTTTGATTGACAGATTCAGGCGCGACGCTTAGTTTAAATCTTCCAACACGGAATATCTATTCTGGGTAGGAATATTTGTCTGTGTGCTATGACATACATCAGCATAAAGCCGAGGTCCTGATTTATCTGATATTTCATTCATTTGGCATTTTTCTTCGACCTTCTCTTGGGTATCTGCTGGATCCTCTTCTAGGATTCTTATAAACTTGACCCTACAATAACGGGCCACGTGCTCTGGCTTGTTACATTTAAAGCAGATTGGTCTTCCATCTTCCGTCCTATTTTTGCTCACTTCTTGGCTTTTATTGTAAGTGTTTCTCTGAAGGTTTGGTTTCGGCACAAAGTTAGGATTATAAGGACGTCTAGGGGTAGAGGGCTGGGGAAAGTTGTTTCGATACTGTCTGGGGGTAGGAGGGGAGTCGTTCTTGTAATTATTGGAAACAGGGGCTTGGGGCCTGGAAGTGGTCTGGTAGTTTCGTGCGGCAGTCGGCGGCACGTACCTCGATTGTTGTTGGGGTCTAGAATAGCGTGGACCGTTATATAGGTTTCTGGATTTCTCCACACGTTCCCGATACTTCTTCTCAAAAGAATCCATTTTCTTGCACACGACAAGAAGGTCATCGGTCGTTTTAGGAGGGTTCAGGTAGAGCGCGAATGAGTACTCTTTTTTCAGTCCTCCAATAACATGTTCAATTTTTGTTTCTTCTTCCATTGCGGGGTCAACCTTGTTGCACAACACTAGAATGTCTTCCGCGAACCTGATTGCTGGTTCATTCCAGTGTTGCATTCTGTTGAGCTTCATTCTAAGTTCTTCTTTATTCGCGTCCAAAGAAAAATCCTGAATGAGGCGGATTTTAATATTTTCCCAGCTCGTGAAACTAGCTTTGTGTAAATTCAACCAGGTTTTAGCGCTTCCCGTCATGTTCATGGCGGCATAACGAGAGATAATGTAGTCTGCCCAATGGTACAAGAAGCCAATTTCTTCAAGAGATTCAATCCATGGGCGAGGGTCTTCCGTTCCATCATACTTGGGGATGTCGATGTTGGGATTCAGGACAACTGGGTCGGAACTAGCATCTCTACCAATTGTTGCACCAGGTTGCGGCTTGGCAGACTCTTCAGCCTGGATTCTCTCCTGTGCTGGGTCTTGCATCTTACCAGAGCGTGTTTCAACCATCCTACAAATTTATAAAAGGGAATAATGAGATAAGTCTTCTTTAAGTAGCCTCCAGAATCCTTTATTTATTTTCTCACATCAAAGAGAGCAGTGAAATCACACGTGTACCTAAATACAAATGATGACAATTTAAATAATCTGTGTTTTAAATAAATATCATAGAATATTTTATATAAAAATAAATAAATATATAATTTAAATTTCAAATATATTAAAAATAATATAAGAAATACGCCATTAATCATGATGTAACAATATATATATATTATAAAGGACTGCGGCGTATGATTATAAAACAACACTTAAAGTTTCACCGCATAAGTTTCTTTTCTGTGAAAAATCAATATTTATTTCAAAGATACATATTTACTATTTCTAACTTTTTTTGGATGACGTATGAAAGGGTGAAAATATGAAGAGTAATGGCGAACGGAAAAATAAAAGTGTCCAGGGGCGGGAATCGAACCCACAACCTTCCGCTTACCGGGCAGATGCCATGTCCACTAAGCTACCCTGGACGTATTTTTCCGTTCGTAAATAATACTTAAAGTAACTTATAATACATTATAAAGGACAGCGGCGTATGATTATAAAACAACACTTTAAGTTTCACCGCATAAGTTTCTTTTCTGTGAAAAATCAATATTTATTTCAAAGAGAAATATTTACTATTCCTAACTTTTTTTTTTTTGGATGACGTATGAAAGGGTGAAAATATGAAGAGTAATGGCAAACGGAAAAATAAATGCAATATATATATATATGTGTGTGTGTGTGTGATGAGGTCCTGTTGACTCTTGTAGAATCCTGTCGACTAAAACTGTGATGAGGTATCCAGTCGACTTAAACTATGGTGTGAGTCCCTGTCAACTCTCGCTATACTGTGTTGACCGCGGGTCTCTCGCTGTGGTATGGTAACCGAAAGGGGCAAACCTGTAGTAACCGAGAGGGACAGTCAGGGTGTGGAGTTTTCCAGCACCTCTCTGCACCTTGGGAGACCTTTAACAGTTCTCACAAATTACAGGCAGTCGTAGTCGAGGCAGAGTGGAAAGCTTGGAAATGTCCACACAAAAAACGAAGACACAGTTGCACTAAGAAAGTTCCGTGAACAGATAAAAGTTGAGCTAGGAGCGAAAGATGGAGATAGAAGAGTTCTTACTGGTCTACATGGATGATGAGATGGACCATTGTGACAACCGACGAGGGCTTCCGCTGATGGTGAAGTGACTATATTTTTGGCTAGGGCGGAGGTATCATATATCTTTGCCGAGAGAGGAAGTATTGCATTTCAGCAGATGCAACAAGAGCGTGGATCGGCTGGCGAAATAGTACACTGGCGCCGTCCTGACAGTTTCCTATCTATCTTTAGATGTTGTTTTGGGACTGCTACATCTATTTCGAATTTAGACGTTTTTTACTTCTATCTCTTGCTTCATTTCAACTCTTAATCTATTACAGAGTTTTATTTATTTATCCTCAGTTTGTACAAAGTACATTACATATTATGATGTAATGACACATGTCAATCATACGTATAATCATTTACAGATGTGTTTCAATTTTACAACATGAAAATCTTGTTATAAGTTATATACAATATGGGGTTGTTGGGTTAAATTACCATATATATATATAGGTATATATATAATTACATATATAAAACCATAAGCAATGCATGAATCGTATAGATCAGAGAACGTATATTTTGAAAATATGTGTATTATATAAACTATTTAAACATGAATTTATATTGAAACAATTATAAAAATTATGTAGAATATATATTTGAAGAAAAAAGCACAAACATATCCCTACAAAATATAATTTATAATGATTTATGCACAATATAAATAAAATTAAATGAATATTTAATTCTAATTTAAATCAATATTCTTATCATTATATTTTACCAAATAAATAAATACGTCTCTTACAATATTATATAATTCCAATTTTGTCAATTTTCTTCTTTTCTTTTTGTATGTGTTTCACATTTTTATTTATATATATATTTTTGGAATCTTTTATTGAAAATAAAGAAACAAAAGAAAAAAATGTCATTAAAAGAAAATGAAAAACAAATATATATTTTTCTCCCTTTTTTTTCTCTCTCTCTCTCTCAGAAATTGAATTGGGGGAAAATCTATTGACAATTAATTTATAAATCTTCCTCAGACTTTCGATTAACTCCCAATTAAAGACCTCATCAAGTACCTAAGTTGCAGACGATACCTAATGAGAATCATTTCAAAGACCCATGTTGCCATGGAAACGCCTCTAATCTCGCCAGAAAAGGATACAGAAGACATTTTTAATATATCCTTTTTTTTTTTTCTTTTGGAGACTTATTATCCAGGCTTATGGCTGAATACCGAGCCATGTTGGAAAAAAAAGTTTTTAATAACTTGCTTCTATTCTCTCAAGGTATAGTTCCTTTTTTTATGAAAATTTTATTTAAAATAGTTTTTTTTTTTCTAAACATTTTCATACCTTCTGTATCGATATATTTATATATTTTTTTGTTTGTATATTTTGATGGTTAATAACAGATTTTTGACGTATATTAAAATATTTTGTTATTATATTAATTAATATGTTTTTTTCTCTCTCATATTGTATGATGATAAAAATAAGATAAAACGATATAAGTGATAACAAGATCCAACAAGAATTTGAGATTAAATATTTTAAAATACGATAGTTCATTTGAAATACTTTTTTTTTCTCTGAAAAAATTGTTATTGATAATTAGATGTGAATTTATATATAATTTTTTATTTTGTAACCTTTTTTTAATATAAAAAAGTTCTATATTTTGGGGTAACAAATTTCTAACATTATTTTGATGATACTTTCCTAGTGAGATAGAGATAAATAGAGAAATATCGTTTCGTGAAAATAGAACAATCCATAAATAAATCTATAAATAAAAAGGTATATATTGGATCAAAATATCATTTATTTTACCAATATTTCAGTTGGCTGAACGCCAACCTTTATCAAGGTATTATAACATATTAATATGTTATAATACCTTGAAAAATGTTGGCGTTCAGCCAACTCAAATATTGGCAAAATAAATGATATTTTGATCCAATATATGCCTTTTTATTTATAGAGAGATATATAGAGATAAATAAATGTAATGAAGTAAATAAAGTAACACGATTATGATTCTTGAGAAGTTGGAGCGATTATGTTCAAATTACAATGTATACTTAAAAATATAAATAAAATATTTATAAAAATTATGAATTATTTGTTCAGTGTCAGGTTGCTATATTAATAAATCAAATTACAAATATTTTTTTTATCTTACTATCTTCAATTCTTCCTTTTTTTCTTAAGTTCCGCATAAGACGCGTAGCTGCTGAGGCTGCAGCGTGAACTTGTTATAGCTCTTAATTGTTAAAAATATATAAATCTTCTTGATACCTTATAATTGTAGAACGAAATTTAACAAATATACCGCAAATGTTTCTTTTAAACGAAAAATCGAAATTTATTTTAAGGAGAAATAACGATTATTTCTAACCTTAGGGATGAGGTATGAATTGTGAAGAGTAATGATAAACGGAAAAATAAAGTGTCCAGTAACCTAGTGGACATGGCATCTGCCCGGTAAGCGGAACACTGTGGGTTTCCATCCCTGGACACTTTATTTTTCCGTTTATCATTACTCTTCACAATTCATCTTTTCATACTTCATCACTAAGGTTAGGAATAATCGTTATTTCTCCTTAAAATAAATTTCAATTTTTCGTTCAAAAGAAACATTTGCGGTATAATTGTCAAATTTCGTTCTGCAATCATAAGCCACATTATATTGTTTTATATGCCTTATAATATAATCCTTATCTACTTTCTCTTTAGCTTTATTTAAAATAAAAAATAAAAAAGGTCAGGTGTTGGTATTAAAATCAAAGAAGACATATCCTAACCACGAGCATATGAGCTTTTTAGATGGAAAAGCGCCATCTAGTGGAACAGAAATCAACTAAACATTGATTTAACCTGTTTCCTGATATTTGGTCAACCCATTTTCTTGATAAATCAAGAAAAGCCATCCACGAACGTGTTTCAGGCTGTTAGCCTTCGTCAGCGTGGTGCAAGGCTGTACCTTTATGACCAAAGATTTTTTCGGTCCCAGAGGCTTCTTGAATTATCAAGAAATGGGTATTTAGGACCAAACTTGCATAAATACGCTGAATACGTGAAAAAAATTATTTTTAAATAAAAATAAAAATTTAAGGTGTTTTAATTAAGCCTGTTGACGAGAGATTATCGCTTGAGAAACCTTGCATTTTAAAATAAACAGAAACTCATTGGACGAAATATTGAAAGTTTTTAAAGGTATCAGGGTTATATTAATGTTTACATATACTAAGCTAGGTGATGATAATTCATAGCAACTCTATAGGTGAGGTGTAATACTGTAAAGAGAATGAAGCTCTCTCACTGCTCAATCAATTCAACCATCGACGACAATATAAACATTCTTTTTTTTTTAGATATATAAAAAGGGTTTTAGAACACGGTTAATTAAACCATAGGAACTTTTTCCCACTTTTTTTTTTTCTTAACACGATGTTTTAAAAAAATCGATATATAAAAAAGGGGAAATTAGGTTTTAAATGATTACTAATCAATTTTCTCCAACGTTACCCGATCGAAATCTATAAAAATAAGGCTTCAGTGAGATTTTTATCATGAAATTGGAAAAGAATTTATAACCCTTTTCTCAACGTCTGGAACTTTTTCTTTCTGCGTAGTGGGATGAGGCCGAATTGACTTTTCCAATATTGTGACACGAGAATGATAAAATAGATTATTAATCTGTGGTCAAATTTTTTAAAATTTTATTCGTAGAGTATAATGATTAATGAATGTTAATTGTGGATATATCCTAATATTTGACTCTAGATGTTTATCTCTAACCTTATTTTTTACAATTGGAAGACAATTGACTCTCTGTGACGTAACTTAGGGACTTATTCTGTACAAGAAGCCCTAGTACCAAATACAGATTTGTGATTGAATTTGTCTCTTTTAGAATAGTTGCCTATCAAGTGCGATGGCCTGAAACCATATTATACCTTAATTTATAGTACAATATAATGATTGTAGAACGACATTTGAAACTTATCCCGCATGTGTTTCTTTTGAGGGTAGCCTAAGCCCATGGCATCTGCCCGGTAAGCGGAACACTTTTATTTTCACGTTTACCATTACTCTTCACAATTCATCCTTTCATACTTCATCCCTAAGGTTAGAAATAATCGTTATTTCTCGTTTAAATAAATTTCGATCTTTCGTTCAAAAGAAACACATGCGGGATAATTTTCAAATGTCGTTCTACAAACATATTATACCTGTTAGGCATTATTTAAACTGATACATTAGCGCGTCAACCATTATAAGGATTTTTTTTGACGTGCATGTTTCTTTTTTATATAAAATATTTTATACTGACCTCACAGCAATGATAAATTAATGGGAGGGCTTTGTTTATTAGTGG